CATCCCCCTGTGGACTGAAAAAATGCAGGCACAGGCCTGCAGTGGCTGAAGTTAGAAACTGGGGGGTGCTAGAGCAGCCCTCCCTTCTCTCCATTAGTTCAAGCTCTTCTTAAACAGCTTTTCCAAGGAAGGAATGAAGGGACATTAACAGCTACCTGTTGACTTGCTCCAAAAAGCCCTAAGCCAACACAGTCCTATCTGCCCAGCACAGACCATAGCCAGCCTGTGGTATGGTAGCTAATGCTGAGAGGTGCATCTGTGTAAGGCAGAGGGGATGGGGGAATCCCGCTTCAGCAGGGAGTGGGAGGTGGGAGCAGGAGGAAGCCAGGCAGATCCTGCTGTATTGTGTAGTCTCTACTGGAGCTGCAGTCAGGGAGCAGAGGGGAAGTGCCAGCCCAGCTCTGGAACAGAACACCCCATCCAGCCCAGAGAGCATGCTGGGATGCTGGGGGATTCTGATTATTAGTTTTATGGAATGTCAAACTGGCTTATGCAATGTTTGTCCCAGACTCCTTCCTGGTTTAAGTTATTAAATCAAGAAGGGATCTAGGACAGACATTGCATAAACTGGCTTGACCCAGATCAGTAAATTCTGATACTGCATTCAACCAGGTTCATCTCAAACCAGTTTCAGCCATTTTTTCAGCCTGGTTTATGTGCACTGAACTTCTGTTCTGTTACAGGTTTAAACCAGTTTTCTGATCACTTTAAACCATTTTATGTGTAATGTCTATTCCTAGCCCATGGGGTCAGGTTGGGGTTGCATCAACCCCTCTTTCCCACCCCCTTGCAGGGCCAAGTCAACCCTCCTTCTCCTGCAGGGCTGGGCCATGGCCCCTCTGCCCTCATCTGCGGGGCTGGATCATGCCCCCCTCTCCCCTCCTGTGTGACTGGGTCACCTCTCTCCCCCAGACCTGCATCAAGTCCACTCTCCCACCCACCTCCCTGCAGGGCTGAGTCAAGCCCCATTCCACCACAGGACTGGGCTGCAGCCAGGCTGCCCCTGGTCCACTCTTGCTGTCAGATGGGGCCCCACTGCAGCTGCTCTGGCAGGCACAGTTGGTGAACTCAGACTGGTGGGGTGTTGGAGCATCCCACAGGAGTGGGGGTGGGGTGGGAGGAAGGAGTTTGCAGCCAGCTGGGAGCGGGGGGGAGGGGGTGTTGCAGCCTCCCTGCTACCAGCCAGAGTGTCTGACCAGCTGCAAACCACCCCCCCCCCATGGGACACTCCACTGCCCCACCAGTCGGAGTTCAGCAGCTGTGCCTGTGCTCTGGGCACTGGATTGGGACCACCAGCTGGATGTGGCCTGCATAGACCTGGCATATCCAGCCCACCAGGCAATAAGGTTGAGCAGCACCGGTGTAAAAAACAAACAAACCTGTTATCTGGAGTACTGAGCCTTTTACTTGCCTGCATTCCATACAAGTGGTATTCTTTGCCCTCTTCACTAAAGTGCTTAAGCAGGCCTATATCTTCATTTCCCCCTCTGCTGAAAGCACCCGATATTATATTGTCATTTGTTTACCTACAGTAAAATAAACAGCCTATGAAAGATAGCTAGGTAACTTAAACATGTTCTGTCTCTCTCACTTATTTTTCTCGTGTGTTGCAGCAACATGTTCTTAATTCAGCTGAACTTATGTACAATACTAATACTCACTTCTAGAAAAAGAAAAAATCAACTCAACTAGACTGGATCTAATACATTTTATATAGACTACTAGTACCCTTTTCAACTAAGCATTTTGCTCCGTATGCCAATCTCAATATCCATTTGATGCTCAGCAACACGGGGGCAGGCTTGCAAACGTGGATAGTCCTGCCGAGATTTATGCTTGTATAGCAAAACCCCCAGTTTTTTCTTTTATTTTAAAATGCATTCCCTCCCCTTCCCCAACCATTTCTGACACTTTCTCTCCTTCTCTATTACCTATCGATTTTTAAGTATAAGTAAGCTAAGATGTAGGATAAGCTTTAACATTTTATTTTAGGTAGGTTTTTTTAATTTTTCTCTCCCCTCTTTTCAGATGAGTGCCCTGCAATTTTGATATAGATATGCACTGTTTTATAAGTGGCAATCATTATGTTCTGTATTTTTTTGTACTGCTTTTATATTGTGTGTTTTACTATTTTAGGCCTATTTATGTAAGTTAGCATAAGTCATGTAAAGTTTCCATCTTGTAATGTCAAGCCTCCATCTTATCCCCATGCCCGGTTCTGTAACCCCTGACTCGCACCTACCCTTCCTATGTAACTTGGTTCCTGAATAAATGGAGATGAATGAGGGTGCTTAAGAGACAATGGCAGTAGGTCTAAAACTAGCTCCCTCTGAATGACCAAACCATCAACACCAATACCTGGACCAATGACCCAGCCCTTGGAACCACCCTCTGCATTCAAGAAATAGAAGATGAAGCAACCCACCATTGAGGGCAACACTTTAAATCATGGAAGTGCGTAGGCATGCACAATCATAGGCTAATGATGCTTATACATACACATTACTGGACACCCAAAGATATGCACTTACAGGCGGATGCTGACACGTGGAGTAGCCATGGGGAAGATGGCGATGCTTTTCTTCTTCGTTCATTTAAAATGACTATTATGAAAAGTGAATCTGGTTTGCTACATTTTCCAGGTAAAGATAGAGGATACTGATGCCTGAGGCTGTCTAGGGCTATGGAAGAAACAGAGCTAAAAAGGGTAACTTTTCCATCTCCTGTGTGTAGAAAGCCTCTGGGCTGACAGCACCAGAAACTATTGTCTACCTTATTCCAGGCTGGTTTTTATTAACTGCTCTTTTGCTACCACTTGTAGGCTGAGCTTTAGCATCTGTCTTCTAGGAGAGCCCCAGTGCATGAACCAGTGGTACCACATTGCGGGTTCCACTTCAAGCTCTTTGTTGCTTAATACTACTGTACTTCCTTCCAGCTTTTTTTCACTTTTTTTGTCTATGTCTAGCATGTTAGCAGCTTTTTTGCCAACCAGACCAGTCCATTGCCCATCATGCATCCTTTCCATCACAGTAGCTTTACCGAGTTGATCAGTGCCTCGCATCGTGTAGGCTTTTCTTCCCATCCACAAGCACTCTCAGCCCCTGAGAGGGCTAGGAGTAAAGCTTAGGTTTTCTATTGGAGACTGACATGTTTGCCACTAGGGGCTAATATTCTATTCCATTTTTTTAGAAGAAGGGATGAATCAATGTCACCACATCTGTATCTGTACAACTGAATACTTGTACTGATCCTATGTTGTATTCTAATAAGGTGCTGAGTATGAGTCAGTTCGTTCTCAGTATCTTGGCTTACTGTAACTCCCCAATACAGAGTTCATGCCTCATTTATTCATGTCAAAGAATGAATGCGGGTCACCGGGGAACAAAAGTCTATGTTCTAATCCATTATGCCACCTGGCACCTCACTCCCAAATGCTTCCCTAGCTAAAGAGCTCTTCTACCAAAGATCTGGTTGCATTCCAACCCATCTTGAAACTTTCCAATCGTTTAGAGAAGCCATGGACAGCTGGACTGCAGCTGTGCTGGAAATCAAGGGTGCTGTAGCTGTTTACTCCAGCTGAGGATCTGTCCCTTTTGTGTTTTATTTCTGTGATGCATAATTCATTTACTGTAAGGGAAACAGGGCTGTCACTGGATACTCTCAATGTATATGTACACCTCATGCAGCCATTTGGCTTGTGACAAACATCGTTCCTGGCCTGATGTCACAAAGGTCATACATGTTTGATTTAATCTATTTGCCCATTGTTTTATCTCGCATACCCCTCTCTTCTTCCTTTCCATTTATTCCTTGGGTCCTCTTGTCCACTTATGTGTCTTCAGCTGTCATCTTGATACCATAACTAGGCAAATCTACTTCCTAGCCCCCGACCTGTCTCCACTGTGCAGTCTTGCATCCCAGCCTATATTTCCAGCAGCTCTTGGATCCTTTGCTATCACCTCTTATAATTAACATGACTGATACTGAACTGCTGCTGATTTTAATTTCCAAGCCCTTTCCACTCCTGTCCCTCACAATTCATGGCATAACAGTCCACGCTGGCATCAGCAGACCTTGAACATGGGAGTGATCTTGGGCTTCTCTCTTGACCAACATGTCCTTCTATTGCATTGAGGCTACTGCCTCCACTCTGTCAATACTGTCAACCTTGACTGCCCACTCATGTGCTTCAAAGCATCACTTTTGCCTAGATGCCTACAGAAAATCATAAGGGATGAGCCAGAGAACACTGGGGCTGAATGGATATATATTTAACAAAGAGGTATAATGTATATAAAAACTGTACCCCCTATCATTTCTATAAGTCTCTTAGACTGTAAACTCTTTGGTGCAGGGACTATAAATGGACAACAGTTTGTTAACTGTGGGAGCCACAGGCTATAAGTAATTGTTCTTAAAGTAGTCTGAAGGATTCAGTCCCCAAAGTTTCATTTATTTAAGTTTCCATTTAGGGTTGGGCATGTAGCTCCATTTGGGTCCCAGCCTACATAAATAATAGCTTATCAAAGGATTTGACAAAGCAATTGGGTGCTACAGAAAACCCAATTCTAGCACTGTAGTTTCTGGCACTTTGAAGCTGTGAAACAGGGCACCTGATGGATGGAGGCTATAAACTTTAGTTGTAAATGCTGTGAGAACTAATCTTTCCCTGTCACCGTTGTAATCCTAAACTTTCTAAACCTTTAGGATTTTGGGGGGCAAATATTCTAGCCTGCATTTCCTAACCTCTGTCATCTTATCTGCATCTGTCTGTAAGAGCAGCAAACACCTTAAAGTAGATATTTTTCCTTTTTGACTGTTTGGAAAAGTCCTTCTATATAGCAGGTGCTACTGCCAATAATAAACAGCATTACATTTTTATTGGTGAAAAAATACTTTATTTCCCCTTCCCCTCCCAAGCAGTTTCATTCTTCCTTCCCTTTAATTTCTGACCTATACTGGTGCTGTCATACTTCGATTGGTCTCTTAGCTGAGAGATTATGCCACCAGGGTAAGTCAACCGTGACTTTGCAGAGAGCTGAAACAGCTGAGTGCAGAAGCCCAGCCCTGAGCTGAATCGGAGAACAGCAGCATGCCTGATTACAGACAGCAGCTGCTGCCGTTTTGAAGATATTATGAGGACTCTGTCATCTGGAGGATCTTTTATAGACTTAAGAAGGCAGCTGTCCTAGCATTGTCAGAGAACCTGTGTTATCCCAGAACGCTGCCCCAAGCTTGCCAGACAGCACTGAATATTAAAAACCTTGGAAGCTGCATTAAAAAGGAAAGAGATGAACTGAAGACTAAACATGTATGGGAATTATCCTCACTTCATTAAGTTTCCTGCTGGCTTTGGCAGTAAGTATTTCATTTGTGCTTGCAATCTCAGCCTTTGGGGTTAGATAGATAGAGAAGCTTCTTAAATCAGAAAAGTATAGGGAGTAGGAAGGTAAAACATTTGCCTAGCTTCTCAATAACCTTTTATAGTACTTACTATATAGAGACATGCATAGGACTGAAGCTGTCTTCTGACTATGAACCCTGTCAACTTCAGAAAAACTGAAACATCTGCATGCTTGATCCAAACTAAGGAAAATTCCCCCCCTCCCCCCAACCCACTCAAGTTTGACAGATTGAATAAAGCATTTCAGTGGTGTTTGTATAGTATGTAGTGGAGTGTATCTATTAATGAAAATAATAAGAGCAAATTATTGTCTTTCTAATTTTGTGGGTTTTTTACCCATTAGTTTACCAGAGGAAAAAAAGTCTTAAAACAAACTCAAACCAACCCCCCTCCAAAATTACTTCCTTTTGCTAAGTGCAGTTCCTCTGCTCTTACCAAACAGACACCAAAATAATTGTATGAAGCATTATCAAATTAGCTAAATAGGACTGTAAGCAAAGTGAGGCAGCAATCTCTAAAGGACTGTAATTTAGAGTATGGTAATATTCCACAAGCCAATGATAAGTAGCCCTGGTATAAACTGCTGCAGTCTGAACTTTGCAGGAAAATACAACCTTTTAACTTATTTAATTTCATTTTTATTTTATTTAATTTATTTTTCCTCCTTTCTTGGGTTCTGAATCACTGAGGAAAAGATATGAGGAACAACATTATCAGATATGTCTACTAGATTTTTGGGTGCTACATATAAGAGAGAATGGTCCTGATACACTGTTGTTCCCAAGCTCGGGCAGTCACTTTTTTACCTGTGCAAAATGTTGTCAGATCAAAATAGGGATGTGGTACCCTTGCTTTGCATTTAATTTGCATTGGTATGAATAATCTCAGTGGGGCAGTGTCAGAGCTAAAGTGGGTATGAATGAGTTTGTAATGGTGCGGGGAGGGGGGGCACTGGAATTGGTTTTTCTTTTTATTTTTGGGAATAAACAAAAATATGTGCATCGGCTAACTCAAATGGGGTGTACAAAAATGTAGGTGAGAAAATAGCAGATACCTTTTGGAATTGTTGACATTTAATGGCTTGAACAGACTCACACGTTGCACAGAGTTCTTGACTGGGGCGGGGTGGGGGCTTGAAATTTCCAGAGTTATTGTGAACCAGAGTCAGGGTGTTAAAAGAAATGGAGGGCTTGGCTAGAAAGGAGGGACAGAGCGGATGGGATAGAGGCATATGGAAATCACTTTTGAGAACTACTGTGTTTCGTTATGCAAAGCTCTGGAAATCTTTTCCATCTTTAGCTCTTCGGCTGTTTATATTTAATATTTCTCATGCTTAAACTTTCTAGGGTTGCTGCTTACAAAAAAAAAAATAAAAGGACAAAGTTAACATGCAGTGTGCTCCAAACAGTGAGGTTGATTTATACATGTGCAAAGCGCTGCTAATGCAGGATAGACCCCCAAATTACTTGCACACATCCCCTTCTGGATTCCCTCTTGACCACGTAAATGATTCCAAGCCATACTCTTGAGGGTATCTGTGGTGTATATACCGTTTATGCCCCCATTTCTTAGCTCATAAAATTGAGAGCTACTGGCAGATCTGCTACAGTTAACATTGCAAATCATTTTAATTCATCTTGGGCCAGGTCCTCAGCTTGCGTAAATCCTTTGAGCTCTGCTGGAGTCAACATCATTTTTACAATGAGCAATGTTCCCTTGCTTTCATACCCCTTTAACTTTTCTGAAACAATCACCTTTCAGGCTGTTTCTGTAGAGGGGCATTTTGTGTTGTAAAATTTGAATGAAATCTCATCATCCATCTCTGATTTCTGGGAGAAGGCAGGGAGGAGGCAAATATGGGGGAAGTCAAACTTCCCATTATTTAAATAAAGAATATCACACCACCGTTTTTTAACAAAAGCACAGAACAAAACCATTATCATTTATACTCAAAATGAGTTTGACAAGGAACAGGTTACACAGAAAAGTTGTGGAATCTTCTTGGAGGTTTTTGAGACCTGGCTAGGCAAAGCTTTGGCTGCAATGACATAGCTGGGAATGGTCCTGATTTGAGCAGGGGTTGGACTAGATGACCTCCTGAGGTCCCTTCCAACCCTCATTTTTTCTCTGATTCTATGACAAGTTTCCTCGTATGAGGTAATTCACTGCAGGATCAAGACTATCATCCTTGGTGAGTTTTCTGGGTGAATGAAATGGAAGGGGAAGAGCCATTTGTATTCACAAAAATCAATCCTGGTTTTTATTATAATGCCATTTAAAACTCTTTCAGTAGTACATTGAGGTGTAATGCTGACAAGGGGAAAATAACATGAATAATACCTGATATCAAAATTTCTAACTTAATTATTTCTAATATGCCTATTATTGTGGCACTGGGCTGTTATAAACTCTGGCGCTGTGGTAGTGGTGGTTGAAGATTAGAATACAACCTTATCATAACACCTTAATGTATCTTCCAAGGAAAGGTTGGAAGAACTGGGATTATTTAGTCTGGAGAAGAGAAGGCCAAGGAAGGTTTTTTTAATAGTTTTCAAATGCATGAAGTGTGGCTATAAACAGGATGGTAAAAGACTACAAACTATTCTGTATGCAGTAGGGGACAGGATGAGCAATGATGGTCTTAAATTGTAACAGAAGAAATTTAGCTTGGCTAGTTGGGGGAACTTTTTATTATGAGGATAGTAAAGCACTGGAACAGATTCCCTAGAAAGGTGGTAGAATCTCCATCCACATGGCTGAGATGCTTAAGGCAGGATCATCCCTGTCTAGACCAGGGGGTTGGACTAGATGACCTCTTGAGGTCCCTTTTCAGTCCTACTTTTTTCTAGGATTCTGTCACTTGGCTACCTTTTATAAAAGCTATTAGGTACTACTACTCTAGCAGTTCAGCATTATGAATGGCACTGCCCATACCCTATCCCTGATACCAAGAGTGCTTCATTGGTTTAGGAAAATAAAATTGTGAATGACCAAAAAACTCACTTCTGAGCTCAGGGATCCTTCCCATCACACTTCTTTTGACATTAATTCTCCCTGCCAAGTCTGACCTGATGGGCAGGCCCAGACACAGCTGTGGGAACACTTTATATTTGTGGGATTATCTAAGTATTTAAATATTTTCAGCCAGGCTCCCCAAAATCATGACTTTTAAAGAAACAGTATACTGTATTGAGTTCTTCTGTTATTTGCCTTCTATTTTTGTAATTATTGGCACTCGCTCTAATTTTTTCATGGGGTTTTTTTCCTCTGCTACCCTGAGGGCTAGAAACTTTTTTTTAAAACTAAAACTGAGATTCTTATATCTTGCATGATTCTGGGAGTTGAGGCTTTAGGTAACATACCAAACACCATAAAACTGGAAAAGCTGGTAATACTGCTAGCTGAAAATTCCTTAAGGAACCTATCTCAGCTTGGGACACGAGAGAAAGCAGAAGTTGCAATTTTGGGGTATGTTTACACTATTTGCTCTCCTGATTTTTGCACACACTCCTGAGGAAAGTCCTGTAGAAGAAGCCAGTGGGGAGCCATAGAATAAAATGCAGGTGTGTAGACTTTGGTAGAAAACCATATTTTCCTTTACAATTTTATTACCCTTCTGTGGGCAGTAGATTTCCTGCTATAGAAATCTGTAAGTAACCACTCCCTCATGAGGTCATCGGGTGGAACTGAGCCTTCAGTTCCACTGCAGAAGTGTCTACCACTTGAACCCGGAAACTAAGTCCATTAGGGTTGACATGACTACTAAATGCTCTGTTCCCTTTATATCTGCTTGTATTGATGCCGTGGAGAGGAAGTGACAAAAACCTAAACAAAGCAAAAAAGCTGGCACTAAGTCTCCATAAGTACCATGGCATTTGCATGGTCTTGCAACAGGCATGGTTAACGGATGTATGAGTACTCTCAGCAGGCTTTTAAAACCTTATCATATTTAGTTTTTTCTTTTGACTGAATTGTCTGGGTTTGTGATGCTTGATTTAGAGATAATGACAACATTCTGGTAATGTTCCTTTACCAATACGTTATTAATGCGTCTTCTCACCCTTTTTCTTCATCTGTATTCCACTCAAGCTAGAAATGAGGCATGCATTACTGCCACCTTCCCCCCGCAACAATGAATGTAATCAATTGCTGGAACAACTTACTTTGGTGATACCTTCACCCACATAGAAGCTATTGGCTTGATTCTGGAATTACTGAGTGAAATTATCTGCCTCTGTTATTCAGGATATCAAATGATGTTTAAGGCCCTTTTGGCCTTAAAGCTATGACTTTTAATGTTGTGTTTTGTCTTGGAATATATACATCAGCAGATTAATGTGTGTGAGGAAGAAAAGTGCTGCAAGTGTAAAGTATTATGAATGATTTCTAATTGCATATTTACACAAACATTTCACACAGGGGTGGGGGGGTACTACTAAAATGACACTTTAAAATCACTTCTGTAGTAGATTAGCACAAAATATATTTCCCCATGCAGAAAACATTGTCTTTCTGTAAATCCATTTCTGTCTGTGGAATGACTCAGTTGCTGTGCAATTCCATTTACTGGGGACAAAAGAGTAATTGAAAAATAGACAGAAAAGGAAGATAATCCTCATGTTAAGGGCAAGTCTAACAAGAGTCTCGGGAAAATCATGTATTGCCAGTATTATGCTCCTTTTCCTGAATTTCTGTTTAACTCTGCCTACCACAAACAAGGGATTTGTTCTCTCAGGATTTTCTACCAGGCAACCTGTTCAAATCTAGGGTTGCTGTTTAATAAACTGGAGCTTTAGTTATTTAGAACTGCCAGTCATTCTCAAAGTCAATATCATACACCTGCGTAGTATACAATAATTTACATGTGATGCAAATGGCCCACGTAAGACAGGTGAGAAAATCCCACAGGGAGTCAGATTTTCAAAACTAGCTTGTTGGAAGCTGGGAAAGCAAA